AACAGCAGATGAAGTCATGCTGGAAAGGACTCATCAGAGAGATAAGGTGGACTGTCAGGTCATGCAAAGGACTGGAGAGAAAGAGGCAGAAACTGAACAGGTGGATATCAAATTGATTCATATGTAAGAGGGTGGCATCATGCTAACTTTTAAAGATATTATATTTCTGTAGGTTAAGGAGCTATCTGTCTATTTATACTCAGCTAGGAGTTCCATGAAACAGATGTTGAGTTCACGACACCCCTTTTAGGTATCAAGACATTCAGAAGAGCAGACTTGCTACAACTTTAAATGAAAATGAACCAAGGCTGCATTACAATTTTTTAAAAAATAAACCTAGATTAAGGGCAACTGGACAAAACGATGATACAAACATAAAACTAAGTAATAGTCCAATAAGAAACAGACAGTATTCTGGCAACTGCTCTTGCCAGCATGATAAGTACTCTTACGGTAGAGATTATTAATAGCAATACACTACGGGAGAAGCTGTCATTTACACTCTGAAATCATTACACTCAAATTCAGAGCTATAAAGAGTATAAGCTAATGTAACCAAAATTGAGACAACTACAAATTAGCAATAAATACATGTACAGTCAATAATAAGTTATAATATCATACTAGAGGGGCAGTTGTTTAGATAAAAACACAAATCACAGTTCTGAAACAATTGGTGGAGCATAAGAAAATAACAGCTGATAATACTGTAGATAAAGGACAGGTATCTAGCCTAATAGTTACGCCTCTGGTTATGACAGCTGTGCCCTAACCCGCATCAGAAGAGCTAGATGTGACACCCAATTCTGGCTCCTGATGCCAATCGCCCATTAATGTGGACCCTGAGAGACAGAGGTTAGTTTAAGTAGTTGGATTCCTGAGTGGGGTTTCACCCCAGGGAATTGTGGTCCTGGCCTCCATCTGATCACTCCACTTTCACATCTCTCAACGCTACCACAAGCATTTTGGGAGCAGCAAGTGGGCACACATACCTAATCCCTCCTCCCTCAGCCTCCCAAATACATAAAAAATATAATTTTGTTAAATCTATGGCAAATATTACTTTCTGCAAGAATGAAACATAAAATCAACAATTTTAAAACTAGTTGTGTATTTTCCTTATTAAGCCTTATCCTCTCAAAATGTGCGTGCAGCCTTATATAGAGTCCGGAGATTAACTACCAGCCATAGCATTCAATGAGAGAACTGGCAGAGTGCACCTGTGTGTACCTTGTATTCAGTACTCACATAACAGAGACAACACTCAACTTACAGTGCTTAACTAATGCTTAACCATTTAAACACTTAAATGAGTTAAACACTCAAATTAACTGGACCAGTGACTGAGGTACAAAGTAAGTTCATTTACGATGAGAGCATTCATTAACAGTATTATTATACTAACACTACATTTAGAAAATAAACACTAAAAAGGCAGTATTACTGAAATTTTAGGGATCAGATACAAAAAGATAAATGTCTTCATGTAACAAGAGTAAGGATGAAAATTTGTAAAAGAATGATTCAAATTTTCTTTTGTAATTTAATTCCATAAGTTAACCATAAGCTGAGACTTTAAATAAGCAAAAAGGTATGTATACATGACTTATTAACAGTATTACCGTAATAGTAAAAACTTTGTTTACATTGCTCTTACAATAGTGTCATTAAAATACAGTCACACTCATTCATCTAAATGCCGTCGATGGCTGCTTTCATGATGTCAAGGCAGAGCTGAATGCCTGTAACGGAGGCAGTGTGGTCTACAAGGCCTCAAATGTTGATACGCCCTTTACAGAAAGACAGTGGACTCTGGGATTTATGTTATTCTCCAAGGATAACGATTCATGGGGGGGGGGGGGATTATCATTTTTTTCAAAATATACCCAATTACCTCTATTTCAACTTGATTTCCATTTTCACTTTAAAGGAAAAAAAATACTTTTAAAATGGTATTTGTTCTACAGGTTGATATAAAATGTAACCAACAAAAATTGTTTATATCTATCAGAAATCCCAATTATATATTTTGCTATTCTTGGAGTTTTGGGGTTTCAAATGGAGCAGTCTTTGTCCCATCCCAGCACCCTACCCTTCCTTGAGAACTCTACCATCCCATGAGGGCTCTGTGCTGTCAATACCCAAGTCGCACAAAGTCACGTGGCACCTTAAAAAGGCTATCTGCTTAAAAACTAGCACAGTCAGCCAGACATATCAGATCAACAACTCTGTGTCATTTGGAAGTTTCTACCAAAAATAGTGACACTGCAAAATCAGTGTTAATAGGATATTGTAAAGTGCATCATCATTTCTCTTATCACTCAAAACAAACAAACGAACAAAAACTGCTACCACCCTCACAAAGCACCTTAGAATTTAAGTTCAATACCGCCATCATGAAAGGCATTCCAATTGCAAAGTAAAAATAAAGTAATTTCTTCTGGTAAAGTTTCTTTTCCCCTAAGGGACCACACTGAAAACCATTTTCACTTAGAGGTAACTTTAACAGTTAGATCTCTATGTGTTTACTACTGTTGCTATTAAATCCAATGCTTACAGATCTCAGATGAGAAATCAGAAAATTAATGGCATAACAAACTAGACCACTAAAACTAATATTATACATTGCAGTAAGGTTAACAAATATCCTGAAAATGTTTCAGAGGATACAAATTGAAGTTGTAGTTATAACTACTATTTTAAAGGATTTTTCACAATTCTGAATTTTTTTTTATTTTGTGCAAGGCATAAACTGTGCAAATATTAACTAAGCATCTTCAATGTGTGGACAGCATTTTTAAATATATCTTAAATCAAGGTGGCATATATGTTAATAAACAGTAACCACACAAAACATTTAGTTCACTATTGGGACAAAAAAAAAAAAAATACCTCCACAACACAGTGCTCTGTGCTTTAAGCACTTCACTGTCAAGGTACACAGTAACCTGCTTGAAAAGCTAAACATAGCTGCTGTAAGAACTATATACTGTTAGGCATACAATGGGTTAATTATAGCTGAATCATAGCAAAGGCTTTTTAAAAAGTTCTGATAAAGAAAAATATACATTCTAAAAATGTTTAGTACAAACTTTACCAAAAGTTAAGAGACTACAAGTCAATGTAAAGCTTCCTAAATTAACTAGCTGCAAGGAGGAGGGAGGACAGTTTCCCCGCCCCCAACGGTTCTTGCAGTCACACTCAGTGAGTTACGCAATCATCAATTAGCGCAAGCAGGCAGACTAAACCGAATGTGTTAACTTTGTAACTTAAATATTCTTAAAATTTTTTGAAAAACTTTTTAGCATAAACTTTTCTGTTCATATTACGTTCTGTTCCGCTATTAAAACTGCAAAGCTATAATTGAACTTAACATGGTAACCTAGAAAAGTCACATTGAATGGTGACCCTAAGAAGCCCTCAGGGGAAACCATTCAAGTTCACTATTAATTTTTCTTACACAATCTTTTCCTATGCCTCTTAATGTCCATGTTGAAATATAAAGGTGAAAAACTTAGTGGCATATGAAATAACGCACTATAAACTGTACTTAAGTTTATTAGAAATAAGCAACAAAAAATATTAAAATTAATTCAATTGCTAGTACTATATCCCTTTAACTAAAAATAAAGCCCCCATCCCTTCTCTTCAATTTCTAAAACTATTTGTATTGGTACTTTCTTATACAGAAGCATTAAAATATAAGTTAGTTTATGAATGACTTTAGAGCTATTACAGGCCTCTGTGTAAAATGCTTAAACCAGAGCAGTGATCTCATTCAGCAGAAGCTATAAAACTCACAAGGTGAAAGAAGATGAAAGAAGCTCTTTATGCAAACACAGTGAAGCAGAGAAGAAACAGAAGGTGATAGGAATATTTGTGTTTTATCTTCAGTGTTTAAACTGCATTACATTTTAACTTCCCTCAAAATCTTTTCCAACATGGCTGCCACTCGTTTGGGACAGAAGTGGACTCATAATGAACAAAGCTAACCACAAAATGTACCTCGAGCAAACATTACTTAAATCCCACTAATCAGATTTTTCTTTTAAAGATGGGAAAATGTTTTTCTGGCATTCTGGATCATTTTACTTGCTTGAGAGAAAATTGCCCCTACAGTTAAGAACATTTTTTAAAGTACAGAAAGAGAACTCCCAGCACTGATAAACCTAAGCAGTCATTTCATCCCAAGGAGCCTGTGCTGGTTTCTGTTACTGGCAAGAGGAGGAAGAGAAGGAAGGGAAGATTTCATGTGTTCAGGATCACATATTTTAGATCTAAAAATATATCACTCTAGTAAAGAATTCAAAATAGCGATACCAACTAACTCAGAAAACACAAAAAGTTGCTACGAAATAAGCAGGGTCAAAACTTAGTGTGGAGCACTACATGTCACCCTGAAAAAATACCTAGTAGATCATAACCAGATTACACATTAGGGCAAGAGCTACAGAACAGGTTAGTTTCAGAATTATCCATATACAAACCGTATCTTGGCTGCCACACAATACTATGTAACCTTTATTTTATGTTAAGAGCAAAAACTAAAGTCTTTATAATGTTAAGTTTTAATTTTAGAATAACAGTTTTACAACAATTCAGTTCCTGGGTCAAAGAAGGCTAAGGACTAAGATACTCTTAAACAGAACTAAATACTCTATTTCCTCTGGAGAAGAGGAACCCAGCCAGTTTTTTGCTTTCCCCATGTAACAGCGACAAATTGGGGTTTTCACATTTGCCCACGAATCTTCAAACATGGCTCTTTTACATTTGCCAATTTTATAAAGTTCGCAAAATTTTAATGTCATGAAAAATAAACAGAGGCAGCACAGTGGACTGGTAATCTTGTCAGGCTTTACATTATCGAAGTTGTCATTGGCTACACAGTACACTGATATTTTAGTTATAACTATTAACTGAAATATGAAGCGCTTCTTCACTAAAAGCCACAGGACTTAACTTCAACACACACTAATATTTTCCGCACGTGCAGGACTTACCCGTCTTCGACAAAAAGGAAGGCCTTGAGCAATGATGCTAATGCTAAATATCTTCATCACAGTTTGATGTGGCAGAGGCTCTTTTGCACTTTTAAGATCAACAGGAACCAAGCCATGGTTTAGAGAAGCTTTTCCCGGTTTTGACATTTTGAAACTCCTCTTGGTTGATGCGGTACTCTACATGTAACACAGGCACATTCCTGAAATCTCTAACCACCAGACTAACTTGAGGATTTTCACTAATAACTTGAAAAGGCTGAGAACCCAAGGCCTGCTGCTTTTTTCTTTCAACCTTCTCCTACCGAATGTCCTGACCTGACTGTGGCTTGGTGAAGTGCAAACTATCCTAGAATAGCCAGGAATTATAAACTCCTGAAGTGAAAGCTCCTGCTGCTGCCACTCAAACAGCTGGTGCACCTCCCATACAGGCAGCAATGTGAACACAATCAAACAGGCCCGTGCGGCTGGGCACTTTTTCCTATTTTTCCAATGAACTAACCTAGGTGTTCCCTAGAAAATGAAAGTAACTCTGTAGCAAATGTTTAAAATGTGTATCGCCTCTGTTCTCAAATACTTTAATTCTTCCTTACTCACACATTAGATGATTATTTCAGGAATGCTTTAAGCTGTGCCTCAAAGCTAAGGACGACTTGACACATGCTGAAGTACACACACGTCTGTTCTTAGATACACTGGAGGCAGTTCAGCTTGAACATGCCCCCTTTCTTCAGTGGTTTTCCTCACATACCACTGTTTATCACTTGCTTTCTAAGACATTAAACACAATCTAATTGTCTAGAGCTATTCATATGCACTTTGAGTTATCTTCCTGCTAGAGATTTTAAGCTTAATATTCATAATTATGAAAAAATTTGATTCTACATGAAATACTAATCACACAATTGATTGAAGAAGTATTTTAGAAGCATTTATTCATGAAGTTACCTATGATGGAAACCAATTACAGTCATACAACACCTAAAAACATGGTTACATGTTGAGAAATGAGCCATTGTGCCAATGTGGTACTGTACCAACATCATAGTATGTACTTGTTCAAACTGAGGGTTCCACCATGTCACTGGGTGATAACATCTTGGATGTAACCTTTTGCGATCACTTTTATGTATGTGCCCCATTGTTGACAAAAAAAAAATGTGGCACATGAATGCATAACACCAGATAATAACAAGCCGGCTCACTGTAAAACCCTAGCACTTAATTTCTGACACACCATGGTCAGGTAAATCTTCCGGAAACGCAGAGGAACAAAGTGGTGGTGCCCAATCCAGGTAGGAACCATCCATGGCTCCCCAGCGCCTTCCAAAGTTCTTAGGGGTAAGAATCTGCTACCAATGGCCCAAACTAATCCTCCTCTCACACCAACTCAGATAAGTGCTTATTTTAATCACTTATGCAACTAGTAATTAATTCTAATATTATCATTCAATAGTCAGACCCGTGAAACAGACTGCTATGAAAATCACAAAAATTTTCAATGTGAAAAGTTCTAGCAGAATATAATAAATGTGAACTACAGGATCAAAATACTAAGTGAACTACTCGTTTTTGTTTTTCCTCCCTTCAGTCTACTTTTTCCCCCATTAGTCAGTCATCTTACTTATCTCTCCATTGAGCAACTGTTACACATCTTTATAGTAAGTTAGAATTTGATAAGGAGAGAATTATAAAGGAAAATGACAGAAATGGATGGTTCCTTTTTTGTCTTTGGAGAGATCTACCCAATTGGATTTCAAATGGGCTGCTGGGAAAGTAATCTACATCTAAACAAAGCAACACACCCAGTCCTATCCTGATGGTATGCTCTTCAAATAGACCTTCTTCTTACACCAAAATCTAAAATGTAATTAAAACTGCAAAATCACTGGTGTACGTGACACTTTTCCTCACACAAAAGTAAATTCATCCAACAAGAGAAACAAATGGTCGTTTAGCACTTGAAAAAAAAAATTCCCCTAACAAGTTATTAAGAAAATGTAAACCCAAACTGCAATGAGCTACTATTTTATAGATATCCACTATAGAGCTGGAAGGAAAAAAGGAAGGAAGGGAGAAAAAGAGGAAGAAAGAGAAGAAGGGAGTGAGGGAGACAAAACAAGGTAAGGAAAGGCAAGATATATTGATAGAATATAAAAAACTGGAATCTTTACACACTGCTGTGGGAATAATATATAAAATAGGTGTAGCTGCTGTGAAAAATGACACAGCAGTTTCTCAAAAAATTAAACACAAATTAGCACAAGACACAGCATTTCTACTTCTGGATATCTACCCTAAAGAATTTAAAACTGGGACCTCAAAAGACATTTTTACAGCTATGTTTACAGCAGCCTTATTCACAACAGACTAAAGACAGAAGCAACCAAAGGGCCAGTGATGGCTGAATGAATAAATAAAAAGGGCACAGATACATGCTAGAATATGGACCAGTTTGAAGATACTATATGGAACAAAATAAGTCAAAAAGGATAAACTGTGTGATTCCACTTACATGAGGTACTCAAAAGTAGTTAAATTTATAGGGTGAGAGAGAAGGGTGGCTGACAGAAATAAGAGAAGTTAGAATTTAACTGGTACATAGTTTCAACTGTTAAAAAAAAAGAAAAAGTTACAAAGTAATAGCCACTCCTACAACACTGAGTATAATGAAGTATTCTTAAAAGTGACTGAAATATTAAATGCTGTGTAACAGATATAATTACAATTTTATTTGTTTTTATTGGAAAGTCAGCTATACAGAGAAGAGGAGAGACAGAGAGGAAGATCTTCATCTGCTGGTTCACTGCTCCCCAAGTGGCCACACAACCAGAGCTGAGCCAATCCAAAGCCAGGAGCCTCTTCCAGGTCTCCCATGCAGGTGCACGGTGCTGTCCTTGACTGCTGTCCCAGGCCACAAGCAGGGAGCTGGATGGAAAGCAGAGATGTCTGGAAGCAAACCAGTATGGGTCCCGGCATGTGCAAGGGGAGAACTTTAGCCACTAGGCTACTGTGCCAGGTCCAGATAAAATTACAAATCTAAAAATTTTAAATAAAAAGTAAATGAAAATAGAACCAGTATCATTCAAAAAGCCCAACACAGATCAAAGGATGAGAGAAATGAGACACTATGAAAGAACTAAAAGTATATAAACTATAGAAAAAGAAAAAAGTAAGGCTGATATCCAAGACGACTGTCTACAGCCTCACTAGGCTACTCACCACGCTGCAGCACGTCACCAGCGATTTCGCAGTTTCAGCATTTCCTGATACCGTTTATTTTCCAATATAATCTTTCTAATCATGTAATATATAATCTTTAGTTATTTTATCTTTTAGTAGCAAACACGGCTTTTGCTACATACACTCCCACAGTGCTCCCCACCCAGTTACATTCACAATCTCCTCGGCTGACACTGCATTACAGTTGGAGTGGGGAGGCTGGGAGGTGAGCAACACTACAGCCAGGGTAGATGCTACCTGTATTGCTAGCATCCCACATGGGCATCAGTTCATGTCCTGGCTGCTTCACTTTTGATCGAGTCTCCTGCATCTGGGAAAGCAGCGGAAGATGTCCCAAGTTTTTGCGCCCCTGCACCCACGTCGGAGACTTAGAAGTTGTTCCTGGCTCCTGGCTTCAGCCTAGCCCAGTTCGGGCTGCTGCAGTTATTTGGGGAATAAAGCAGCAGAAGGGAGATCTCTCTCCCTCTCCCTATAAATTCTGCCTTTCAAATAAATTTTTTAACTCTTTTAAAAAAGTTTGTCACAGTGATATTTTTAATCCAAAATTACTTTTCCTGAACTATCTAGAAAACAAGTTTTAACCATATAATATGCAATGTGAAAAAATTAGAAAAAGATACCACATTCTACAAGTTTAATACATTTATTCTGCATAGGAAAATAAATCCAACACATTTATTTAATGTTCACTAAATTCACCTGGTAAGAATGACAAAATATTAAATCCTATTTTTTCACTTTCATCATCAAAAGTTGTCAAAGAACTTTGAGACAAGACCAGATCTAGATCTATAACCTCTGTGCAGTCAAAGCTTTAGGGTAAAAAAAAAAAAAAGTATGAAATTGAAAAGAATCTGAACTGGAAAAATTAAAGCCACAATCTATACAGTCTTCATCTTCTAAGGGTAAAAATTATTATGAATCAAAATGAGATTTCTTATTTTCAAAAAATTCTCTCCAATGATAACAAAAGCAAAACGAAGAGTGAAAATAAAACTTGGCTGATACTAAATTCTGTGTTTTACACTAGAAACTACTTTAGAAAAGCTAAGAGTGGGGACATTCTAATTCAGCTTTTTAATCAGTAAACAGCTGCCCTCAACTGGATAACATGGAGTATTACATCTCCACCAAACCAAATGCTATATGAAAATAGACTGAGTATGTATCAACATGCTTTTGTATAAGCAGCACTAATTTCCAGGTGTATGTACTGTAAGTTTTATCTATTTTGGAGAGAAAAGTAACCGTACTTCTGAAACCATGAATCCTAGCAGCCTGAAAACATGTAAAACACCAACTTCTTAAACATGGGGAAAACCTAGAGAGACACTGTACAGAAAATACATTAAAATTCCCATTGCCCGGGTCTAGTAGCTAAAGTCCTTGCCTTGCACGTCCAGGATCCCATATGGATTCTGGTTCACTTCCTGGCTGTTCCACTTGCCATCCAGCTCCCTGCTTGTGGCCTGGGAAAGCACTTGAGGACGGCCCAAAGCCATGGGACCCCCTGCATGCTCATAGAAGACCTGGAAGAAGCTCCTGGCTTCTGGCTTCATATTGGCTCAGCTCAGCAGTTAAAACTACTGTTAGGATCACTACTTCTATTGCTAGGATAAATAAAATTTCAAACAGAATTTTATGGATTCGATTTCCATTTTAAAATCACTAAGAAAGCAAGCTGACTTCATAAAACCCATGTGTATCAACTATGGAGATGCAAGACACAAGTTTCCACAAAGATCTCCATGACTGTCAAAATGTAACTGTAGCTACTTGGGTTACAGCATTCCAGGTAAAGCTGTCCCCGGAGGATGCCAGTACCCTTCTCTGGGGTGTTTGGGCTGCTCCTTTTCTGATCTAGCTCCCTGCTAAGGGTCTGGGAAAAGCCACGGAGATAGCCCAAGTGTTTAGACCCCTGCACCAATGTGGGAGACACAGAAGCAGCTCCTGGCTTCCTTCTGGCCCAGCACTGACCACTGCAGCCATCTGGGCAGTGAAACGGAAGCTGAAAGATGTGTCTCTGTGTTTCCCTCTATAACTCTGACTTTTACAATGAACAAGTAAATCTTTAAAAAAAAAAAGGTAACTGCAGTATCTTAGCCAGAGTGTGTTGATTTTCAGATTAAAGTTATCTGCGAAGGTTGTGGTAAGTAGGTTTCTACAGATTATTTTGGCTACTTTTTATCATTTCCTGGTTTTCTTGTTTATAAAAGCTTACATTAGCAAAACCAATTATATACAAATATTACATATAGTACAATAACAATTTAGTATTTACAAAACACTTTGCATTTTCTAAGCACTTCAATTATCTCTTAACAATAACAGAATCTATCCTGGATTTCCACTGTTTCTGTCACTCATTATTATATGAAAGGCTAGGATACAGCTGTTCTTGCAAAGCCCGCAGCTACAAACAGCACAGACTTTCTATAAACTGTTCCTCAACCAGCTACAAAAAAATCACTTCAAATATAAGCATATATGATTCTTATATCAAGAGTTCTCAAAATCTCACCTCAAAACCACTGACAGGGAGAATACTGACATCATCTCAAATCTATAATATTCAGTACTTCTATAAACTTAAGCAACCAATGACTTAAATTTTATTGAAAAAGAACAATCAGGATGCTAAAAAAAATATACCCCTGCTGAAGACAAGCAAGTGAGACTCAAGATCCCTGGAATCAGACAGATGGATGTTAAGTGTCCTCATTTATTTAGGGATATAGAATAGGACATATGTTTTCCTATACTGAACTTACTTCCAGTTTTTCCAAACACCTTACCTATCTATCAAAATGCTAAGGTATTTTCCTAATAAGCAACTCATGAATTAGGATATAGCCACTTAAACAGTTTTTATGAAGAACTTAAATTCTGTGCTGGATGACAAGTGAACTCTGCATCTTTTACTAGTAGTAACTTAAAGAAAAATCCAACAAATAATATATTACTATTTGAATTGTGGAAACATGCTTCAATTAGTTCAACATCAAAGAAAAAATTATACTTTCATATTTGCAAAATGCCAGTCAAAAATGTTTTGTAATAACCTAAATCACATTTAAAGTGATTCTGAAAAAGTTCTAAGGCATGCAAGTGCTTAAAGCACTCAAAAGGATTATGACTTCCAGTTATAACGTCTGTCAGAAGTCACAGTAATAAAAGTATATGAAAGATCCGAACATAGTATTGTACTTCCTTGCTAATTTTGGGGGGAATCCCTATTTACTTAAGAGAAATTAGGTTGGTGTAAGAAACAGCACATACAATATATGTAAATGCTAAACAAATGTTTTTTAATAATTTAACATTTGCAAAATAACAGGGCATGAACTGTACATGTTCATGCAGTATTTTCAAAATAAAAGTTCTGGAATGTCAGGCTACGTAAAATACCACAACTGCTTTGATTTATACAATCAAGGGCAGACTGTCCAATATTTAGACTACTTCAAATTTTGTTGGAAATCTCCAAATGATTGGTTGAAAATGCTACAAGTGCAAAAGTAAATCACAGAAAACCATTCAAAATAAGCCCTAAGAAAATGAGAAGCTTAAAAGTGAAAAAAGAAAAGAAGTCCTTAGAACACCAGAAACTTAAGAATCAAAAGCTCTACTTATTACTTATTTATAACTCAATTATTGGACTAAACTATGGTCACAGGCAACCACACAGGATACCAAGAATACGGACTTGACAGTTCTAGGTTCAGCTCCACCACTAACTGGTAACCTCAGGCAAATTTCTTAACTTGTGCGACACTTCAAATTTCTAAAAGTGAAGATTGGCCTAGGAGATCAGCAACAAAATCT